TTTTCCGCTTTCCCTAAAAATAGGTAGGAGGCCGATTTCTTTGTTGGAACTTGTTTCAAAACTCTTACCTCAGTTAGTAAGTCCGACATGTCATGGATCACTGAATCTCCTTCCAACGTAAGGTAGGTTTGACCTTTTCTGCTCTTACTTTTCCTTCAAACTTGCACTGTTGTACCCGCCACCAGATCCGGGCCCTGCACTCTCAGGCATTTCTCCCCCTCCGGTGTTGTAGGCTATGTACCTTATTCCGGAGAGTCTGTTTTTCAGCAGTCGTGCCCAGCGGGCTGGAATGACTTTCTTCAAGTTAAGCATACCGAATCTGGTATCTACTTTACGTAATCTCGGTAGTTTCTTTCTTAATTCTGTCAGGGAGAACGAACATCCACTGTCAGAATCCCACAGATTCTAACCTGTAGGATACCTTTGGCTATCCACAAGAGCCCAAAGGTGTCTGGTGCTCCATCCGCCGCAATCAACAATCTGAAATCTTGCTCAATAACTTCATTGTCAAAAAACAGTTGGTTACCAACTTCTGTCTTGGTAGTTGGTTCCTTAAGAGTTTGTGGTCTAAGTTTGTTCCATGGGAACAAGATTTTTCTCCAAATTATGGATTTAGGACGCTTTGAAGTGAAGGAAGGTAGTAACATACATAACCACACATGAGACCCCTGAGAAAAGGTTCATTCCTTCTTCAAAATATACTTTGCTAAATAGATCCACAACTTGGACTCTCCTTGAGTTAAACCCTGCACTGGCCATTTAGCCAACAACGCAATATTTTGACGTTTTGGATCTAGGATGTCCAACCCCCCCTGTGCCCTGGGTAGGGCGATGCCATCCCATTCCACTTTTGAAATAAAGATATCGCCTTCCGTTGCTGTAGGTTTTCAAACATATCTTGCGCCTACTCTCTTAATTATTGTGTAGGCTTCCTCCCCTATCAAGTGGATTGTCATGGGGAACCAAAGGACAGAAAAGACTGCCGAAGTTAACTTTAAAGCTCTGCCGAACAAGGAAAGTTTGAAGTTTTTTATCCAACCATTCACTTTGGCCGAAATCTTCTCACTCAGAATGGTATCCTGCGCCTCTCCACTGTCCGCGAGAGAAACTTGTACTCCCAAGAACCGCTCCGAGGTGTCAGTCGGGACTTGTCTCAGTCCCCAATCCACACATAACTCAAAGGGGGATGGGAATAAATAGACTGACTTATTCCAATTTATCGAGGCTTCAGACAAACAATAATATTCATCCAATATTTTTTTTAGCTCTCTAAGGGTCTCAGACGAGTTTTCAATAGCCATAGTGAGATCATCCGATAACGCCACCCCCTTCCATTGTAGCGAGGGGGAGAGTGACAGACCCTTAATCTCTGGGTTTGATCTAATGTTATCCAACAACGTTTCTAACTGAACCACAAAAAGCAAGCGGGCAAGGGGACAATCTTGGCAAAGGGAACGAGACAGTTTAAACTCCTTAGACAACTTACCGTTCACAATTACCATGGAGGCCGCATCAACGTACATTGCCTTGACCCATCTACAAAAACCTTGGCCAAAGTCCAGATTACGTAGTGATGTGAAGACAAAGGTCCAACCTACTTTATCGTAGGTTTTCTCCATATCCAATAATAGCACAATGACTTCCCTTTTTTCCTTACTAATTACTTTCAGGGTCTGTATTGTAGTGAGTATATTATTGAATATTGACCTCCCTTTAATGAATGCTCCCTGTTCTCAGCCAATTAGGTTGGGGAGGAGCTCGGTCAGACGAAGGACTCAGGCTTTAGCCAGAAGCTTATAGGCCACATTCAGAAGTGAAATATCCCTATAATTTATGACATTTGTCTTATCTCTTTTTTTGTAAAGAAGAGAGATCACGCCTTGAGATATACATTTCGGTAGCGTCCCTAACTTCAAGGCCTTGTTATAGATTGAAAGAAGGAAGGGACAAAAAGTCTCCCACGTATCCAAAAACAATTCGATTGGAGTCCATCTAGTCCTGGACATTTGCCTAGAGTCATTTGTTTGGCTGCTTTCCATAGTTCCGCCGTTGTAAGAGGTTCATCTAATCGGCTACGGTCCGCAAAAGATATTTTTTTGAGAGAAGGTACCCAAAAATTTGAGACCTCAGACAAATTTATTTCCGGGGTGTCAAATGCTCTCCGTGTTGAGACTTGAAAATATTTCATTGCATAGTTACACAATTGTTCTGTGGAGTTTATCGTTGTGGCATTCCATTCAAATGGGTGTACAAGTTCTCTGATTGGAGGTTTGCTTTATTGCAAAATCAGGGATCTAAATGTCATTTTCGTCATGCGGTCATACTCCATGATACCCCTAATCTTGAGCCAATCAAGCCACTGGGCATGTTTCTGCATCTCCAGTGTTTCTAGTTTCGCCTGGCTGACCTTCCTTTTTTTAGACCAATAGTAATCAGAGAAGGGATCCCCTCCCATTTTACTTTCTGCCTCCATAATTTCCTTGGTCAAACATTTTTCTGTCTAAGATAGGTTGGCCGCCTTCATCCTAGATAAAACTTTGAGGGCTGCTTGAATTATACCCAGCCCCACTTCCACCCACCTGTCTTCCTTTTAAAATAGGCCCTTGGCTTCTGTCCACGAGGACATTTGATCCTTTACCCAGTCTGAAATTGTCTTTTAATATAGATACATTTAATCTAAATGGTGGTCCGTGTCTGTCAATTACATCCTTGGAGATTATATCTATTAAAACGGGGTAATGGTCTGACAGACTAGACACAAAATAAGCCGACCAGATGCACCTTTCCCGCACCATTCCCCTTGCCATAATAAAGTCTAGTCTTTTTCGGGGTTCCGGGGTTGTCGGAAAGGGCTTAGGACCATACCAAGTATCTCCATTCGAGTCGGGGCTCATAAATCTAAAGATGTCTATTAAAGATTATGATTCCATAAAGGCCGATAACAGCTCGGTATCTTTTCTCAATGGAGTTGGAGAGGGGGTATCCAAGCCGGGATTCAGGACCGTGTTCCAGTCCCCTGCAACTATCAAGTTTTTTTGCGTTTGGTAAATAAGTCGGTAAGTCTGAGAATAACTTGATTCGTTTCGTGTAGTCTACTGAGGCATAGACAAGCATAATTGCTCAGTCTTCCTGGTCTACAACCACCTTCACCCAGGCCCAACGACCCTCTCTGTCAATAAAGTGGTCGATAACATCGAAATCTAAATTTTTATCTATTAGGATACTAACTCCACCCTTCGTCCCCTCTGCCGGGGAGCAGAATTGTGGGCCCTGCCCCCAGTTGCGTAGGTTAATCACCCTCTACGCACGTAGCTTCGTCTCTTGAAGGCATAAAATTGGACTGATTAATTATAGATCCAAGCGTGCAACCTTGCGTTCTTATTTCTTCTTGTTGTGTGTCCCATTTTTCTGAAGTTCCAAGAAGCCAAGCGGATCTTAGGCGGAAGGACCATTAACATGGTCGGACTCGATGGTTACTTGGATGCGGAAGGAAGGTACAAGCGGCGCCTGCACTACTCCAAAACACAGAGATCTCAAGTTGTTCAATAACTCCTTAGAGGAAAGGGCCTCGTGTGGGTTTGAATTTGGCACCGAAGCAGCCAACCATCTTGCTACTTCATTGGCTGAGAAGTCAACTGCCAATGAGATGCTGCAGATTGAGTCATTATCTGGTATAGTAAGATCTGGATTTGGAATCCATTGTGCTCTCACTGTGCTCCATTTGCAGAAATCATCCATCATTGAAACTATTCTACGGAAAACACAGTGCATAGCTACCTTTGACCCTTCTGACTTACTTGCAATATGACGGCCCATTTTAGGACAGGGCAGAATACCGCATTGGAAGGAGTTGTCAACCACTTAGGTAGACACTAATTCAAAATTTGTTCCGCTGTAGGAGAACCTTTTACCCTGATTGACGGGAGCTCCAACGTTTCATTGTTGTTCTTCCACGTCATCAGGGTAAGGCCTTGTATCGAATTTGCTACAATAATCGGGACCAAAAATTGGGGAAAGGATCCTTTATTTTTGTCTTCTCTGGTCAAGGAGGCCATCGGCAAAGTAGAGGATAGTAACGTTTTCCCTGTTCTGCCGTTATGACCTCTTTTCCTTGAACCCCCCACCCCTCCCTGGTCCATCGCCCCTCGTTCATCGTACCCGTTATCCTCTATACAGATCTGTGTGTTGTCGTTTGCCCGCAACATCTTGGCTGGGGAATCGAAGGATGGAGAGGGTACATTTCCCCGTCAAAGGAAAATTCTGGACAATTGGAAATTCTGGGCCAATCTGGGAATCGTTTCCATATGAGCCTCTAAGCTGTGTAGGGCCTTGTTTAGATCCAAGTCTTTCTTCTGGTGCCCCTGAGAGGTGAAGGGGGTGATTGGACCTGGGACTGTTTGTAGGGCCTTGTTTAGATCCAAGTCTTTCTTCTGGTGCCCCTGAGAGGTGAAGGGGGTGATTGGACCCGGGACTGTTTGTAAATGAGAAGTAAATACCGCACGTGTTTTGTATATGAATACAATATACCCCGTGTGTTCCATTCGTAAATAATGCACGTGCGTTTTGTTTGAGGGAGGCAAATGGGAATTGAACCCAAGATTTCCTTACCAACTGGGCTAGGCCACTGGACGGTCTACTGGTGTCTCCAAGCCTTTTTGCGGCCATACTATTTTTCCAGCCGCTGGCCAGCGGGGTCAAACCTTTAGCCACCTTTTCCAGTGCTGTTGCTGACTACTTTAGCTACCTGGGACCTCTGTTCCTCTAAACCCATCTCCCTGTTCCCCCGCTTTCCCCGGGCCCGGGCTCTCGCTAAGATCCAGTCGACGGCTGACGTGGGTACCCGTGAAACCTGCAGCCGCACCGAGGGCCCCTCCCGGCTACCCCATCTGCCACCCCCCTCCCGCCCCCCAAGCAACGGTTGCGGCGGCGTTGGCCATTCCCCCCAGTTTTGGGCTCGGTCCGGAGTTTCGCCGGGCGGGAAAAGCCTCGAACTGCAGAGGGCCTATTGCCTAGCTTTCCAGAACTCCGCCTCGGCCTCTGCTGTGGCGTCGTCTTCTCCGTTAGCGGCGACCATCGACGAATCCCCGTCGTACCGACGGTCTTCACCGTCACGCGGTCAGAGCTGTTTTTCGCTCCGCTGACCTTCTTCCCGCTGCAGCAGCCCTCCGAGCTCGAACGCCAGTGATGGCCACGGAAGCCGACCCCGCGATGGTGAGCTTCGTTTATGGACTCGACGTTGTCGACTTTGCTTTGCTTTGTTTTGTTTTGTTTTTTTCGTTCTGTTTTAAAGGGCAACGGACCGACTGGCCTAGCTGAGTTGGAACTCATGAACTGCTGAAGTACAGACCCGAGTTAATTCCAATGGAATCAGATGAGTGAAAATAACTCTCAATCTACTGGGGCCGCTCAGTTAAAAAAATATAATATATTTCGCGATTTATCTATCTATCTCGAGGCTGTCGCTTTTTTATTTTTTTATTTTTTTATTTTATTATTTTAAATAAAGAGGGGCGATGGCCTTGAGATTTCATCGTTGAACTGACCGGCCGCAGGTAATTCAGAATTATTTTGATTTGTTTTGCTTTGTGTTGTTATCGAGTTTGGTGGCGTTGCCTTCACTTCCATGACTAGAACTCCTCGTTTCCCCCCCCCCCCCTTTTCCCGATGTATTTTTAAGTATCGTAAGCTTTCATCATGTATCATTGTTATGATTATTTCTTTTGTGCTCTTTTCATGCATCGATATTCTTAATTGTCAAATTTATTTCTTCAGTGATCTTTTCAAGAGAACTTTCGTTCGACGACTGATGCAAGCGATTGAAAACAGGAGTGGAATGAGGGTGATAGCAGATGTTGTGCAGTGAGAAGCAGTTTTTTGATGAGATGAGTGCGATGGCGGCGGCGGCGATTTCTGGCAAAGAGCAGCCTTTCTCCTTTCATGGTGTTTGCCTGTGACGAATCTTGCAAAGGGCTCGTCACATGGAGTCACGAGGTCATGAGGTGCCGGTTTGATCCGTTTTCATTATTTCGAAGGGCCATTTCTTAGGATGTGTATCGCATCCCTTTTTTTTTTTTTTTTTTTTTTCATATTTGGTATGCGATGGACGTGTGCATGTTTTTTTGCTTTGCGAGCGAACCCCAGATGACAGATGAAAGTTACCGAAGTAGCAGGCAGTGGGAAGGATGGTTGTGCTTTTTACTTTTATGTGGAAGAAATTTGATATTTTATTCTTTGATTGTTTATATAGAGATATAGATACATATTATTTATGTTGCCATATTTAGACATGACATTTTATCAATATCGTATGTGTATTCTTTTATTTTTTACATAATGTCATAGATATACTGATATCGATGTATTGTTTATCATAAATTGCAGATTTAAATTGTATATACATAGTACTTCTTTTCCTTTCCTTGTTTTGCTTTTTTTCGCCTTCGCGCTCTGATTCACAGTGTGACAATATATAGGGTATTGATGTGTACTTGAAAATGAACATAACAAAACCTGTGGCGTGCGGATATGGATTCGTTTTTCATTTTTATTTATTTATTTATTGTTTCTGTTCTCTTGTAGGCCACAGTAGTTGCTGAGAATGGCGCGAATAAGGTTAAGGCGTGTCCTGCTACCGCGGAAAATGCGGGCGAACCAAACAGCGATGGCGGGAAGAAGAAGGATGGAAAAGAGAAGCCAAAGAAGAAATCAGGGGGGGAGAAAAAGAAGCAAGATCAGACTCCTAAGGCTTCCGGTGAGTTTAAAATTCTTGATGGCGTCTTTCATTCCCTCCTCCTTATGGAATCGTAGTAGATCATATTATTGTTAAGGAATACGATCATAGATTCTCTCTTCCTCTGTTTCTCTTTCTTTCTCTCTTTATTTCTTTCTCTCTCTTTCTCTCTATCTCTTTCAACCTCTCTCTATTTCTGTCGCTTCTGTCTCTTTCTGTCACTTTGTCTCTCCCTTTCTCTCTCTCTTTCTCTCTTTCTCTCTTTCTCTCTCTTTCTCTCTCTTTCTCTCTCTCTTTCTCTTTCTCTCACTTTCTTTCTCGTTCTAATACGCACTGAAAGTCCCCACGGCTGCACGGCATGCTGCTTATGTTTTTCCTCCTTTTTGAGCATCGCGAGGAGGAAGTACGATGTGGAGGAGGAAGAAGCAGGAGGAAGAAGCAGGAGGAAGATGAGGGGAAAGACGATGAAGATGGGGAGGATCACGAGTTCGAGTCCTTTTTTCTTTCCCCCTTCTTTGTTTTCGGTGTTCGAAGACCAAGCAGTTCATGTGATAAAGCTTCCCATAGCTGTGACGACCAGGGGAGGAGGAGGAGGAGGAAGATAAGAAAGGAGGAGGAGGACGACGACGATAAGAAAGGAGGAGGAAGGTAAGAAAGGAGGAGGAGGAAGGTAAGAATGGAGGAGGAAGGTAAGAAAGGAGGAGGAAGGTAAGAAAGGAGGAAGACAAGAAAGGAGGAGGAGGAGGAGGAAGATAAGAAAGGAGGAGGAGGAGGAAGATAAGAAAGGAGGAGGAGGAGGAAGGTAAGAAAGGAGGAAGGCAAGAAAGGAGGAGGAAGACAAGAAAGGAGGAGGAGGAGGAAGATAAGAAAGGAGGAGGGGGAAGATAAGAAAGGAGGAGGGGGAAGATAAGAAAGGAGGAGGAGGAGGAATGTAAGAAAGGAGGAGGAAGGTAAGAAAGGAGGAGGAAGACAAGAAAGGAGGAGGAGGAAAATAAGAAAGGAGGAGGAGGAAGGTAAGAAAGGAGGAGGAAGGTAAGAAAGGAGGAGGAAGACAAGAAAGGAGGAGGAGGAGGAGGAAGATAAGAAAGGAGGAGGAGGAAGATAAGAAAGGAGGAGGAGGAGGAAGATAAGAAAGGAGGAGGAGGAGGAAGATACGAAAGGAGGAGGAGGAGGAGGAAGATAAGAAAGGAGCAGGAGGAGGAGGAGGAAGATAAAGGAGGAGAAAGATAAGAAAGGACGAGGAGGAAGAGGAAGATGATGAGGGGAGAGACGAGGAGAACGGGGAGTGCCCACAGGGGAAGACGACGAGGGGAAAGTCTAGGAACGTGAGGATGAAGAGAGCGAAGATGACGTCAAACGAGCGGGAGGGATGGAGTATATGAGGGAGAAGGAGAAAGAGGAAGTTGATCGTGGGAAATACGAGAAGGAAGGTTTGTCTGGTCGGGACGAGGTATACATGCGACATCTCCGCTATGGTATTGGATCTCTATGGAAGAATACCTAGCGCGGAGATCTGCACTCGAAGTATCAGAACTGACCAGACTCGAGCTATGGCCAAAGGCGCCGGTTCGAATATGTGCTTGCACGGAGGAGGTCTGAGGCCAGAAAGAAAGGATCCATAACTACTCGAGCTATTGTAGAAGAATGGCTACGACTTAACTACCGTCTTCCCCCGAACATAACGCACCCTAAAAATGAATGTATACAAGCTATATTTACGGCCAGATGCAGCCAAAATAAGGGTGCGTTGTGTTCGGGGGAAGACGGTAGGTATTATGATAGTAAATATTCTTACCTTCTCCTGCTGCTCCTGCTGCTCCTCTTTCTCCTCCTCCTGCTCGTCCTCTTTTGGCGCCTCCATTTGTGACCTTCATCTTTTGACCGTGTGCAGACGGCGAGTCCGCCAGTCGTTCGTGAATGTGATCTCGAAGAATACCGACGGACCTAGCTCAGTTGGTACACCTATCAACCTAGATGAATATAGACCGGAGCTCGAATCGAGATGAACCTAGATGAATGAAATCGTCTTCTTCTGAATTGTCTGAGGCTGGTCAACCCCCCTCCCTTCCCCCCCCCC